TAAAATTTGACAGTCTTAAAATTTAAAATTTTTTTTTTAATTGACTGTTTTAAGTCTATTAACTAACGCATTTGTGTAGTCATATCAAAGATCAGAAGCAATAATGTGGTTTGGTGGTGGTGGCAGTAGTATAATATGGAGTTGTGGGTGGTGGGTGATTGTTGGTGGTTGGTGGTGATTAGTAATAGTGGAGTAGTGGTGGTGGTACTAACGGTAGTAGTAATGGTAGTATACTGGTGGTAGTAATGTAGTTTGGTGGTAGCAATGGTAGTGGTGATAGTAGTGGTAGTAGTGGTAATAATGGTTGTGGTAGTAGTGGTGGTAGTAATGGTAGTAGTGGTAATAATGGTAGTGGTGATAGTGGTAGTAAAGGAGTATGTTGTAATAGTGGTGGTAGTATTTGTGACAAGTAGTGGTAGTAAAGGTATAGTGGTTGTAAGGGTGGTATTAATGGTAGTAGTGTAGCAATAGTAGTAGTTTGTTGTAGTGTTAGTAATGTAGTAGTGTAGAAGTAGCAACACTTTTTAACTTAGATAATATATTTTTAACTATTTTTAAAAAACGTGGCTTCTGACTTACTGTATTTCGTGTTGTTGTGTAACCTTCGTCCCTCGGTAGCCGCGCTATCTGCTCTTACCTGGCAACTCAGTATGGAAAGGACGACTCTCTCTACCCCAACAACCCGAAGGCCAGGTGCCTGGTCGATGCCAGGCTCTACTTCGACATGGGCACACTATACCAGCGCTGGGCAGACTACGCTGTAAGTCACCGCTGTTATATTATTGGTTTACAGTAACACATTACCAACACTTAAGTAACTTAACCCTTTCAGCCATTATAACAGTTTTCTCCAGTCCAGTACAGGAGAACATAACACTAGACACAGGAGCTATGATTCGACCCCTGCAAGCACAATTAGGAGAGTACAGACTGGTCACGGCGTGGTCACAGACCGGACCAAGGGGGCGTTGACCCCCGAAACCTTCTCCAGGTATATATTATTATAATCAAAGTTGTATAGCCCTTGTGGCTTAGCGCTTCTTTTTGATAATTATAATCAAGGGGGAAGCGGTAAACCCGGAGGATTATACAGCGCCTGGGGAAGGGATGTGGAAGGCATTCAGGCTTAATTCGAGGAACTGGAGCACAGATCCGATTTCCTAAATCAAGAGCCCCTCACCAACATCAAGGAACCTTCCTTGAGGGGTCCAGGTATACAGCAGCAGTAGTAATAGTGGTTGTCAAATTTACGGATTATAGTTGAATTTCTGGTGAGCAATAAACCCCCATGGGCCATACAAGGCTCGTGTAATATAGAATCCGATATGATCCTATATAGGTATACAGTGTCTATACAGACGTTATATACAACGTGAACAACTTTCAGTTACTTTGCACGACTGATCACCTACAATTCCCCACGTGCAGTGGATCTACTTTCTGAGGTTGACTGAGCACCGAGGCTGTGTAGGTCACAACACTCTGACATAAATATATACAACACAAAGATAAATTTAACAAACGATAAAAATAAAGAACATAAACCTTCGACATAAATAAATGCCATTATACCAAGTTCAAGTAACTAGCATCACTTGGTAAAAGCTCTCGCTTCACACGGTGAGGTCCGGATGCAATTCCCTGCGAGGTAGAAACATTGGGCGTGTTTCCTTACACCGGTTGTCTATGTTCCCCATCAGTAAAATGAGTACTTGGGTGTTAGTCGACTGGTGTGGGTCGCATCCTGGGACAAAACTGACCTAATTTGCCCGAAATGCTCTACATAACAAAGGCTTTCTATATAGCAGAATTTCAGTGATGCCAGCTAAGACTATACCTTGTACATGTACTAGTAAATAAAGATATATTTTAGTATATTAACCCTAGGATGGCAGCAGCAGTGGAGAGGTACACTGAGGTGATCAGTCTTTCAGCCTTGATAGGTGGTGGTCAATCTCTGTCTAAGCAACTGTCTTAGTTTTGAGTGTAATAATAATAATACAGTCCCTAAGTGCTAAACCTAGAAGGGATTGTACAAATCGGTTTTTCTCTCACTTTTAGTACCCAGTTTTCCATGGGGAGAAACCAGAAGAGTCCAAGCTGAGCAAGGTGAAGGAGGCACTGGGGTGGCTGAATCTCTTCCTGACTGACTTCACCTACGCTGCCGGGAACAAGATTACTATAGCTGACATATGTCTGGTGGCGACGGTGTCGACGATAGAGGCGGCAGGCGTGGAGCTGGACGAGTACACGCGCATCCAACGTTGGCTCAAGAAATGCAAGACACAGATGCCAGGCTACAAGGAAGCCAACGGTGATGGGGCACAGGCCATCGGGGAGCTCTTAAAGCCCAAGTTACAGAATAAGACAGAGTGACTGTGGTGTTCCTTGGTCGTTCACGGCCCACAGTGTGTATGGCACTTGCCCAAAACCACATGTGTGCATGGGCGTTCGCCCACGCCCAGTGTGTATGGCACGTACCCACACCCACAGTGTGTGTGTGTGTGGACGCTCACTCAGATCATGCTCCCATCACTTTATAAAGGGTTCAATAAAAAAGTATTAACATTTTCATTTATTTTACAAACTAATAATAAATTAATTTGAGCATTAAACCTGTAACGGTGAAGACTGCAGTCTCAAGGAGCGTGGCTGACGCTTGACAGTTACTGTTATAATCAAGGGGGAAGCACTAAACCCGTAGGATTATACATCACCTGTGGGGGGGATGTGGAAGGTATTCAGTTTAATTCAGGGAACTGGAGCACATATCCAATTCCCTAGATCAAGAGCCCCTCACTAGCATCAAGAACCTTCCTTGAGGGACACTTGAGAGAGCTACACACAAGCCAGTCTCAGATTTGTTGTCCTTCTTGTCATACTGGGGGGTAGGAATTATAATCAAAAGCTCTAAACCCACAAGGTCATACAACACTGTCGGGGGTAGGAATGTGTTCCCTAATTACCCCTCTTAAGTGGCTACTTAAATATTTCCCACCTCTGAAGAGGCTTTTGGTCTAAGGACCGACCAAACGAAATTACCCCCCCAACCCCTCTTCCTTATCTCATCCCTTCTTTCCTCTTCCTTTCCTACTTTTGGCCTTTGGGATTCTTCCCTCAGAATTGTAGCTCCTCGGTTGGGGAACGGGTATCGTTGTCACATTCAACTGAGGTCCTTTGTTTTAGTGTTTGCCATGGAATCTGGGAAGTACAGTGCCTGTACTCTGAAGGAGGGTGTAATGTTGCAGTTTTATAACTGCAGTGTAAGCACGCCTCTGCAAGACAGTGATGGAGTGAATGATGGTGAAAGTTTTTCTTTTACGGGCCACCCTGCCATGGTGAGAGATGGCTGTGTTAAAAACCAAAGTGCCCTAACCATGGACTCCCAAGCCTATGAAACTTCTCCCGGGACCCTTTCTGCTGCGGCAACCTCTTCCGACCCTGCCTCGTTATCGATGTTCCTAACACCACTATACCTTCTGCAGGTAACATTTCGTTGTCGGCTTCTGGTACCACTCTTCTGATCCCACACTTAAACGACCACGACCATTAACAGATGACACTGCTACAATTACCTTTCATTCTTCTCAGAAAAGACTAGCACGACACTCACTACCCTCACACACTGTTTTTTCACTCTGCAACTGACATTCCCCATGGACTATCTGACCATAGTATCAGCAAGGTACTCCTTTGCCATGTTGGTCAAAAAAATTCATTTCAAGATCTTAAGATGGTGCAAGCATCGTCACTGGTGCAAAATGCTGGTCAGGCTCACAATCTTTGCCTTCTTACCGACAAAAACTATTCCTGTCACGTTTCAACAAAAACAAAACCAGTGGGGACACTGATCCGCCCCCCCCCTCACTCCCTTCCTCATTTTTTTATCATCTACACTCTTTCTTCGTATGTTCCAATCCTTCACTCTTACCCTTTTCCCCCTACCTCCTCTGTAACTTTACAACCCCTCCTAGACCTAGACGAATCCCCTGCTTCTTTTCCCATAATTCCTCTTCTAAATCATACTTTTACAGTAAAATATTCGAGGCTCAGGGGAAATCGGGGTGTGCTTCAGGTTTCCTTTTTTTTCCGTTGTGTCTTTTAAAAAAACCTAAATTGCGCTCCGCTGCATCATTTTGGGGCTTTTTTTTTGCATTCATCGGATCCTTTTCCCGAGGGGAATTTTTTATAAAAGGCACTTTTTGTACTACACCATACCATCAGATCTTTGTATATTCTTCGCTGCTTTACACTGCAGCATCACTTAACAAGTATATAAAATCGCTCTTTGTATTTTTTTCCTTTCTCACATTATCATTCCAGAGTTTTTTTTTTGGGTTTTCTTCTTTATCCCCCGCCACTTTTTTTTTTTAGGCTATTTTACCTCACATTTCCTCGGGGGGGAAGGGGTCTCACTGTACTTTCACCATCTCACTTTTCTCCCTTCAGTTTAAATGGGGGTACTCCCACCCATTTTGATCCCCTTTTCTCCCCCCCCCTCTCTCGCTTTAAACTCCTTTTTGCTCCCAACTGCAGTCAATTTTACCTGGTCTGTACTAAATTTTTACATACAGCAATCACTTTCCTATCCTCCCACTCACATTTGTATTATCCCCTTCTCGAAGTCCACTTTGGGCAATTGAAACGGGTAAATTTGGGGACCTTTACCTCTCAAACGTGTTTATAAGGAACCTCCCCCCGCTTCTACTATAGTTTACAACTGTTTTTTGACCTCTATTTAACCATAACTGCACTTTTAAACCCCCAATCCGAGCAGGCCACCCCCAGAAAGCAAGCTTGGGGGCTCCCTTTGCTCGTGTAGTACTTTTTGAAACAGTTACCGGGGGCCTATACATTTATATAAAAACTAAAAAGTGATTCCTGTTTTTAAGCGCGAAAGAGGTTGTCGTCTTCTTTCCCATCTGTAAACTAATCACCTTTTTTGGCGGATTTTTCTACAATTATTTGGGCTTTCTCGTGAGTCATTTTTGAGGGGCAAGTACCTCCAGACCTACTCCCGTCTCATTGCCGGTTCACTTTGCAAACCCTTAATTGCCACAAATTTGGGAAATCATCTTGCCAAAATCTCTCAGGGGCCCATCTATGTCCCTCGTTTCTTTCCCCAAAGTCTACCAGAGGTTACCTGCCTTTAACTTTCTCTAGCGATAAGTTTTCTTATAAGTCCTTTTACCTTCAAGAATGGCGTCAACATTTTCCCCCGATCGTCGGCAGCTGGGCCTGATGGATGCATTTCTATGCTTAAAGCTTTTAAATCATATCCCTTGAAATTCTCTTACTTTTTAATCTTTTTTGCCACAGGGGTTTTTCCAACCGGGAAAACTGTCTTGTTCTTCCTTTCGAAAACCGGGTACTTCGGGCCATACACTTCACACTATCGCCCCATTGCTCTTCCCAGTGCATTTGCAAGGGGGGGGGGGGTGCTAGTAAACAACTTTGGTTTGGAATTTAACACGCACTCTATCTCACTAGCTTTTTGGCTTCGAAAAGGCCGCTCTGCAGTCCCCCCTTTTTTTGCTTTTTATTTTCCCTTTATTTTTACCTAGAACCTATTTTGTAATGCCTTTTTTGGGAAACCACTCTTTGTGGCTTACGCTTCTTTTTGATTAAAATAAAGAAACCACTCGTATGCCTATTTTTTTTTGAAAAGGCATATAACACTATTTGGGTTTATTATTATTAAAATAAAAAAGAAGCCTAAGCCAAAAGGGACTATACACGCTAAACACTACGGGGAATGTAAATTTGGACTAAATTCATTCCTTAGGTCTCCGGGCAATCTGCCACTTTCTTAAAGCCTTTTATGCGAGACATTTCCATGTTCGGTTTAATAATTTTCTTTTCCAATTTCGCCCCAACTGGGGTTCCCTCTTTATGTTCTTACATCACTTTTTCTATTAGCAAATAAATGATCGGTATCGTTCCCCCCAACTATATTTTGCTCCCACTTTCCCCACACTGCTAAGCCTGGAAAGCACTAACTGCGCCTAATAAGGTCTATTATTTGTTCACCACCCCTGTTTAAACACACCCTTTTTTCTCTTCATCTTCACTTTTCTTGACTTCCTCATTGTCTCCTTTATATTTCACTAATCTACTTTTTCATTTATCCCCTGGGGGGTTCCGAAAGTTCAATCTTTTTTTTTTTTCCCACTGCCGTCTGCAAAACTCAAATATTTACAATTGCTTCTCCTCTTTTTTCTAAAACCATTTTTGGGTCTCATTCTCACCCCATCCAGTGTATACGATGGCCTAAAACCCTTTTGACGGTTGGTGTGCAGCATTTCCTGGACAGCGTTAAAACGAGGCATTTATTAAAAAGGGTTTTTGCATTGTTACACTGAACTGTATCCATTCTTATTGAAATTTATTCGTATTGAATCAAAAATTCTTCGATTTTTAATCCCCCAGGGGTTTACCACCCAGGTTAACCCAAAAAGGCAATGAGTCATCGACGAACGTCTTTTTCCGGGGTCCTAAATTTGTCCCTCGATGTACCCACACCATCACAAAACATCCAGATCAGATATCCCGCTTGCTAGTAAGGGCTAAACAGGTGGAAGGGAAACCCCCCAATGTTTTCGACCCTTGCCTCTCAAGGGGGGGGCTTTTTTTGGGGGGGGGAAAAGGGGCCTTGCTGAGAATCAGACCTGTGGGTCTCCTTCCCCTCAGACCGAACCAAATTACCCCCCAATCCCCCCCTCCCTTTCCCTCCCCCCATTTTCCTTCCTCCTCCTCCTCCCCACCCCCCATTTTGCCCTTCCTCTTTTTGCCTTTGGGGTTTTTCTCCCACGGGTGGCTATTTTCCTAGGTGGGGAAAGGAACCGGGTTTTTCCATTCCGTTGATTTCTTGGCGTGCGTAGTTTGCCGGGGAATCGGGATCGCCGGGGGATGTCCCGATCTCTCCCCGTATCCCGGAAGTTTTTAGGTGTCTTTGGGGCGACGGGGATCTCGGGAAGCCCCCTTTTTGGATTCCGGGGTGGGGGGCGAAGAGTTGCTTTGGGGCAATATCCGGCCCCCTCCTGTTGCCACCGGGGTACCGCAATGTGAGGTTCTACCCCGGATTGCGGTTTACTGGCAAAAGGGGTAGGGAAACGGCACGGGTTCCATGCTGCATCTGCGCTACTAGTGGGCCGAGGTCCCCTTGGGGCGGGGAGGGGATTTTCGACCTTTCTTTCCCTCCGGGGAACTATTCCTCCCCCCCCCCTCCTTTTTTTATTTTTTTTTTTTATTTTTTTTTTTTTTTTTCTTAAAAACAAAAACAAAGGAGAACCTAACCATGGAGAACCCAATCCAAAACCCCAACCCGGGGGCCCCTTTTTTGAACCGCCCCCATTCTGACCCTGCCTTTTTTTAGACCACCTTCGGACACTCCGATGCCCCTGCCCCTCTTG